CGTATTGGCCCGCTGGGAGGGAAGGCTCATGCCGGATCGATGCAGTGGGATCATCACTGATAGGCATGAAGGAGTGCTGCGCACACTTGGTCAGAGGATTCAACAGTGTTATTCGGCCCACATGAAGCCTTGGTTCAAAGGAGTCTAGCAATTTCAAAGCGAGAGATTACGATAAAGTGTGTGTGCAGCGTGGAAGTACATGCACCAGTGGAAGCAGTAGTCAGGGGCCAAAGGAAGCGAAATGTGGCGTTTTTGTGGCCAAAGGTGCGCTAGCTGCAGCGTACTGGGCTTGCCATTCCTTTCTGAGCTCCGCCACGCCTGTGCTCCGCCCCCAGCAGCAGCGCCCTTCGATTATCATTTTGATGAGGTATTCCGCTTTAAGTGTGTTTCCGGCGCTCATGTCCTTAGGGGGACATTCAGAGCAGAGCATTCAAAAACCGCTGGTAGGTGACACTAGGACTAAGCCCAGGACTGGGAATAAATACAAGAGAGAACGAATGGTTGCTCCCAAAATCCTATCCCCTCCCTAAAGCTTAGTCCCAAGTTCTATCAGTGGCCCACTCACTCCAATGTCCCCCCTAAGGACATGAGCGCCGTGTTTCCTATAACTTTCCCATGGAACGCATTACCAATCAAAGCATGGCCTTTGCTGGTATGATGGTGGCTATCGGTTTAACATGTGCAAAAGACCTCTTATTGGTTGCTAGCTCGTCCATTATCGGAGGTCAACGGGCAAAGAAAGGGGTCCCATTTTGCGCGTTCTTGACGGATTTCTTTGCTTTTTTCGCCACTGGGCATTATTCAGCATCCCCACTTCCACCATGAACCCAGTCCAATCTTATCGTAATCCCTCGCTTTAAGCTAGCTCAGAGATTTATTAAGACAAGGTGAAAGGCGAATTTTACGATGAGGAGGTAGTTTATTGGAAGTAAGGGTAGAGGTGGTCAGTGAAGTAGGGATGAAGAAGAAACCATATAAAACGGCCGAGAAAGGGACCCCTTCCTTGCCCGTTGATTTCCGCATTGATGCGACTCTCATCGTGCCCTCTTCAATGCTAACGCTCTCTCTCTGCTATGCCGGTAGGCGTTCCAGGCCGACTGCGTAACCCTATAGAAGATTCGATACGATAAGATAAGAAGGTGCGGCTGCTTGATAAGAGGTGCACTCCAGAATGAAAACGGGACGATAACGATAACGGTATCATATCTAGCACGCTCTTATCGCACCCCTTTCCACATCGATAAGTCTTTGTTTTTGCTACCCGGAAGTGGATTTCGGCGCCTTATCACTCCGTTGATAAGGCGCCACTGCCACTGAAACTTCACGTGTTGTAACATTGGGCAGGACCCCTACCCACTCCAGTACGTAGCTTTCCTTATCGTCTGGAAATTATCGTGACCACTTCCTTTAACATGATATCATGGCTGTGATCAGTGATACCACCCTTATGAAAACTCCCGCTGAG